CGTCATAATTACGACTTGTCAACTCGTAAGTACGAACGTCCCATGAGGACTTGAACGCAGCATATGTTTATTTCACTAGCTCACCAGTGGATCCTCTGCAGTGAATGGGTGCCGTCAGAATGAGAGTAAAAACTGCTGATGAAAACATCACAATAATCCACAAGCAATCTACACTACTCCAGTCCATCAATTAACATTTTTTAAAAGTGAAACACTGCATGTTTGTAAGAAACAAATCCATCATTAGTACATTTTAATTTTAAACGGTTGCTTCTGGCCAAAATACGAGTCCATAAACCATAATAATGCTTCCTCCAGTGAAAAAGTCCATCCCTCTCACATCAAAATCGACCATTTTAGTCAGAAGCAACATTTTGAAGTTAAAATATGCCTCGATTAATTTTCTTACAAACACGCAGCTTTTCACTTCTCAAGACATTAATTGATGGACTGGAGTGGTGTGGATTACTTGTGGATTATTGTGATGCTTTTATCAGCTGTTTGGACTCTCATTCTGACGGCACCCATTCACTGCAGAGGATCCATTGGTGAGCAAGTGATGTAATGCTACATTTCTCCAAATCTGTTATGATGGAGAAACAAACTCATCTACATCTTGGATGGCCTGACAGTGAGTACATTTTCAGCAAAAAAAAAAATGTTTTTTAACTATTCCTTTAATGTCAGTGAATCTGTGATTCCCCCCAATCTGTGAATCTGTAATTTTAAAAAGTAAAGTGTCAAATATAAAGGCCTAAAATTTAAATGTATTTTATTGAATTACAAGTTTTCAGCCCCTTAAATGATCGTTCACACACAGCATTTTGGTGCACATGATGTACACTGTATGTCATGCATTACTAAAGCTGTTTTGCAACAGAGGTACCATATATAGCCACAAGGGGTCAGCAGCCAAACTGATTTTCAGATTGTAAATAAACACTGTAAAACAGGGCCAATGAAATCTAGAAATCTTGTGAACAACTACTGGAATCTTTCATCTGAGATGTGTCATTTCACAGAAGTTACACCAACAACAGCACCAACACTAGAGTAGGTTAGTTAACAGGAATAAACACAGACACACTATTTATTTCAGATTGCAGAGAAAATTTAAAGAATGTGTGTAATTTACAGTCAACCATTTATATTGTACACCCAGCTTTTTTTTTTAAATCAAGATTAAATGGCATTGAAATTCTACATTTTACAGAAAATAATAACCTTAAAAACTAACCTTACAAAAGAAATAAATGTTAATATGCAGTTCACATTACTGGAAAAAGTTGTATTAAATTAGGAAATGCATTAAACTCACAATAGGTATTTGTACAAAAAGTTTTGTAATACGTTCAGCATTGTAGTACAGTCTAATGTGTAAGACGTCATTTATTTTCTGTTTGCAGATTGTTTGACGTTCTGTTTGTGGTGCTGGATGAGAGAAAAGATTAGATGTGGTCAACAGATTACCTTCCAAAGCGACTGATTTACTAGAACGGCCAAACTACTCTGTGCACTGTACAAATAGTCAGATCTGCCACATTCAAAAGACATGAAATAATTTCTACAGTATATAAAAGAAGGCTTTGTTTCATTAACAGAACATCTGAGCTTCTCTTAACTCTATATTGTTCTTTTATGCCAATATAGCATAATTTCACAAATATAAAAAAAAAATATATATATATATGTATATATATATATATATATATAAGTATATATACAGTGTGGTGGCATATGCTTGACCTTATTCGAACTGCCTTCCTCTCTGTCCACAATCTCATTGTTTTATTCTCCTTGAATGAATTTTGTGAAAGCATCATCAGATATGCAACCTGGCCCTCATCTTGAGTGATATCAGGAAATTCATCCTTTTCTGTGAAAGGAAAGTGATCAGACTTGTTTTCGCCTTGATCACTTCCTCCTCTGGAACCGAGGGCCCTTAGAAAAGCCTCCAGTGGCCCACATGTATTGAGTTTCCACGTGCTGCACGCTGGAACAACAAGCGCTTTTGACGTCAAACACTGCAAACTTTTTGTGCTGCTCCCAAAAAAAATTCCCAAGCTTTCATGGCTCCTGACATGGCGGCAATGGAAAAAGTTGACCCAAGTGTCACGGGACGTTTAGTTGGAAGTGACAGTACCCTAAATAGCACGTCCCAAGAATCTTCCCTATGTACTCTGGGTGGTGGCAGATGTCACGTCTGCATGATCTGTACTCTGATACATGGTGAATGAGTGCAATGATTCGTTCTGTTTTTGGTGTTTTGTTGTTATGTCTGTGCAAACAGGGGAAATAACTAACAAGTGATACGTAACTGTAAAGTTGGTTTAAAGGCCTTTTTATGTATTAAAGGGGTCATATGATGTTGCTAAAAAGAACATTATTTTGTGTATTTGGTGTCATGAAATGTGGTTATGCGGTTTAAGGTTAAAAAAACATTATTTTCCACATACTGTACGTTATTGTTTCTCCTCTATGCCTCGCCTTTCTGAAATGCGTTGATTTTTACAAAGCTCATCGGTCTGAAAAAGCGAGGTGTGCTGTGATTGGCCAGCTATCCAGTGCGTTATGATTGGCCGAATACCTCAAGCGTGTGACGGAAATGTTACGCCCCTTACCATTGAAGTGTTCTGGAACAGTGTTGTAAATACAACTTAACCACTGATTTCTAGTCGTGTCCATTTTTGGAAGGCCACAGCGTCACACACGGCGGTTTAGAGTGAGCAGAGGCCGGGGGCTAGAGTGAGGAACAACCGGAGGGCTAGAGTGAGACGACATGGCGGCGGCGGCAACAATACTACAGCGAGAATAAAAGTTACGCCTTCTTTCTTTGCGTGAACATTTGGGCGGCGTTATGCAAATCTTCCCACATCGTGACGTAGATATGTGGGGGCGTGTTAGAACGAGCCGTTTTAGGTAGGCGTGGTTGACTCTTAACTTTTATAAAGAATATCTCTTTGGATTTGAGACTTTAGTCTTTGCAACTTTACAGATCTTCTTTATGCACCAAGAGCTTGTAACACTCCAAAGAGAAAGGAAAAACTGAAATCACATCATATGACCCCTTTAATGTAATAGTGTGCCATTAGTGTGCCTTAATCCCTTGGATTTCGTTTTGTTTTAAGGGCAAATACACGTTTGATACTTTTGTTCCAAGGAGTTTTTAAGCCACTGCTAGTTTTGAATGAACACATATTAACAAAAATCCAAAATACATAAACAATTATATATTAACAGAGCCTGATAGCTCAAACATTGTATCTCACAGCCAGGTGGAAAACACTCATCTGAATTAACTACTGAAGCAAAATTGCCTGATTGCATAATTATATGCTGTTGGCGCACTGTAACATAACACATATGGTTTGTAGTATGTGCAAGACTGTTACCATGAAAAATAAAATTCTAGGCTGTCTGACCCTAGAGTATGCATAAGAAATACAGCAACAATTACAGACCAAAACATTTTCATTTATTTCTCTGTTTAATCTCTTTTTTTTGGACAAATAGGAAATGTGCAACTCAACTTTAACAGAGGTTTAATACTAAAAAATGATAGTATATAATAGTAATAAATATAATAATAGAGATTACAGTGATTCCACCAGTGAAATCACAGTTGTTCTAGAGTGTGCATGTTCATCATTGACTTCACAATGACAAACATGAGTAAAAAAGGCAAAAGTTTTGCAGGTACAGCTTTATATCGTAACCGTAATTTCGACTTGGGTCAAGCTTCTGTGAATAATAGCCCTCCATTATTAAATGCATTAACACATAAAATGCATTACCACAAATGGTAAGCAAAAGTGCATATTATTACACATATTGTGCACGTTCGCCACATCCCGTTCCTGACCAGTGAGAACATACATCAGGAGGAACCACATTGTTTGACATCAGTGATTGTGTAATTGAGGTTTATTGTTGACTTTCTTCTGTGAATTTTAAAAGCTTAGATTCTAAGAAATGAAACGCATAAAGAGAAATGAATAGGGCTTTATTAAATAGGGCATATTAAATCTGAAGTCTCTTGACATAAAGGTATCGTAATGACATTTACAGAATCAGAGATCATTTTTAAATAGTATATAAAACAATTAGTTATAAATTGGTTTAATATCACTATTGAGTGTTGGGATGTTTGTTTCTCATATTAAAGTGGTTAAAAGAAATAATCTGGGTTTAATAGTGCAGCTTGATCGACAGCATCACAGATACAATGAGGGACTTATAATAGCAGCTCCTTACTGTACTTATAATGGCTCTTACAATGGAAGTACAAAAAAAAACTACAATTATTTTCTGTGGTAATCAACGCAATCATCACAGATGTGACCGTGGAGCACAAAACCAGTCTTAAGTCGCTGGGGTATATTTGTAGCAATAGCCAAAAATACATTGTATGGGTCAAAATGATTGATTTTTCTTTTATGCCAAAAATCATTAGGATATTAAGTAAAGATCATGTTCCATGAAGATATTTTGTAAATTTCCTACTGTAAATATATTAATACTTAATTTTTGATTAGTAATATGCATTGCTAAGAACTTCATTTGGACAACTTTAAAGGCGATTTTCTCAGTATTTTGATTTTTTTTTTGCACCCTCAGATTCCAGATTTTCAAATAGTTGTATCTCGGCCAAATATTGTCCTAACAAACCATACATCAATGGAAAGCTTATTTATTCAGCTTTCAGAAGATGTATAAACCTCAATTTCGAAAAATTGACCCTTATGACTGGTTTTGTGGTCCAGGGTCACAAATACAGTTGAGAGAGCTTAATTTATATTCACCCCAGAACATTCCTTTAAGAGTAACCACTAAAATGCTGGACTTTTTGGATCGTGTTTTTAGTTAATACGACATAAAATGTCACATTAATTGTACCAGAAGAATCGCTTTATAAGAACGCCTTTTAAAAGAGAAACTGTTCGTTACAAAGTACAAAGGTTTTGTATTACTTGAATAAAGTTTGCTGGCACAAGAACTAGATTATTCTGTTGTCCAAAATTCAGGAAGACTGCATTCCCAATACACGACTGGGAATTACATGCTTTTGCTTTCAGCATGACAACCTTTCTCATGTTTTCAAATGTGTAGTTGGATGTGACACCAACAATAAAAAAGTCACAAAACACACAAGTACAAAAAAAGTAGGTTTTTGTTGTTGTTTTTTTTTTTACAAAAAAGTCACTTTGACAATGTAGTACAAACCCCTCTTATAAGAGGGTCAGCATTTCTCCTTCACAGAAACCCACTCCAACATTCAGATCAGACTGTAATGTCTGATTAAGAAAATCCAGTTTATGGCACTTTTGGTACGGCTGCCCGTCTGTCCATTCTGGCAATGTCCAACTTGAATGGATTCTTGCAAATTCCAACTAGATTGTGTAGGCTCACTCCCTTTTTTGGCTCTGAAACAACGGCAGAGTCCCAAAAACACAGTGGTATTCTGAGGGATTCTCAGGTAGCAGGAGAATAACGTTCCTCCACTTTGCTCGGTCATCAAATTTGGCCAACATGACAGCCATTGTAGTGAAGTGCTACGTCTCGACGGATGAAGGCGAATGCGTCACTATCTCTACACAGTCTGTTTCTAACAGGTTCTCGGTATCCTGCTTGGCTCCTTCCTCAACCTCCAACTCGAACTGAAACTTGTCTCCACCATCAGTTCCCGTTTCAAAGAAGGGAGGGGAGGGACTCTGTGGTATCATGCTGTGGTACCAGTTCCTGTTCTCTTCTAAAGTGTCCAAGATATCCTGTGCATCTGGATGCACCAGGTCCGCCCAGGTCTCCCATAGTGGATGCACGATGTAATCAATAAAACCAACCTAAAAGGAAAACAAAAAAACCACATGGTAAGTTCCTTCTAGAAACTGCTCGACTTGACCAATCCTTTGTAAACAAAACAGTGCACTTAATTGCATTACATGTGCACTTGTAGTGTGCTTCAAATTTTAAGTATATTTTTGAACAATTTTAAATTCTTAAAAAGTATATATTTTTAAATCTGCACCTGCAGATAATATAAGGCCACTTAAATTACTGTTCCTTAACACACTTAAGTATGCTTGTAAAAAGAAAACATTTGTCAAATGTAAAGTTTTACTTTAAAGTACATTTTAAATCATTGTTTTATTCATCTTTTTCATGTTTTAGAGAAGTACACTTATTTTGATTTGTTGACTGACACACTAAAGTAGTATTTTAATTATAAATTTAACTAGTTAAATGTACTAAATTGCAACTTCATCATTACAAATGTGTAATTGCAAATACATTTAACTACCTGACATACAAGTTTAAATAGAAATGATATTAAAGTAAATTTTATTTTACCATAAATGCTTGTCAATACATTCAGCAGTACACTTTAACCATATTTCAAGGGTTATAGAATTATGGAATTGCATATTAAGATGTACTTAAGTTCTACTTAAGTGGGTCAAAAAACACTTTTAAGTTATAAATTTAAAGCTATAAATTCTAATACATTTTAATTTACAAATACCATGCAATTAAGTGTTCGAAAACATTACATTCATTTTACACTTAAGTATACTCTTTTAAAGTATGTTATTTCCGTAAGTACACTAAAGTATGCTAAAGTGTACTTCTTGTTCCACAAGGAATGACTTAAATGTGAAGGATTCTTTGGACTCCCACCTGAGATTTCTCCACTGAAGCGGTATGTTTGTCACACATCGGGCTGATCTCCATGCCTCGCTCTCTCTCTCGGTCACCCTGGTGAAAGAACTCTTCCATAATGCGGTCCGTCCATTGCCGGTACAGATCTAATGGCTTGGTGGGATTGCTGAGATCGGCACAGTGAACCATATTTCGTAAGACCTGTGGACATTGTGAGACAGGACATTGAATGATATTGACTTGAGGAACAAGTAGTGAAGAAACATATGTTGTTGAGGACACAAGCCAGAACTCACCTGTATCCTGTCTGTATAGTTGTCAAGTAGCAACATTCCTGAACTGGTCACCTTCTTGGTCTCGACCATTGTCTTCAAGTCAGCCAGTAAGCTCATGTGCTTGGACATGTCTGTTGCTAGTACCTATGGAAAGATTTTGAAACTTAGGGTGCTGTAGATCATTTGCTTTCTGTAGATTTTTGGCTTTTATGGTCTGTTTACGTATATATGTGACCGTGGCTACATTTTCATTACATTGGTACAGGCATGTATTACGGGGGTTCAGATTTCAAATGTCTGGGAAGTGCTGCTAAAAGGTAATTCTCTATCATGTTGGAAAATAACATGCCCCATACACCAAACCAAACCCAACCCTAAACCTATCCGATAGTGTTAATGAAAGAAAAAGTGATATAAAAATGCATTCATATATTAACTTCCTTCTACACGAGTTTGAGTTGTTTTGTATGGAAGCCCGTTTCCGCCACTGAATAAAAAATAAAACAAGGTAATTGCGACTTTTTATCTCGCAATTCTGACTTTTTTTTTTTGCAAGTTATAAAGTCAGAATTGTATGATATAAACTCACAATTGCGATTTATAAAGTCAAAATTGCGAGTTATAAAGTCAGAATTGCGAGATATAAACTTGCAATTCTGACCACAGGAACCAGATGAGTCCTCTGCACAATGTGACATTGCTGCAGCCTGGAATTGAACTGCTGGTTTCGTCTGGTCAGAGGAGAACTGGCCCCCCGACTGAGCCTGGTTTCTCCCAAGGTTTTTTCTCCATTCTGTCACCGATGGAGTTTTGGTTCTTTGCCGCTGTCGCCTCTGGCTTGCTTAGTTGGGGACACTTCATTTCCAGCGATATCGTTGACTTGATTGCAAATGATTGCAAAGATACTATTTAAACTGAACTGAGCTGGATGATGACATCACTGAATTCAATGATGAACTGTCTTTAACTGAAAAATGAGTGTTTACTATTGTCATTTTGCATTATTGACACACAATTTTCCTAATTAATGCTGTTCAGTTGCTTTGACACAATCTGTATTGTTAAAAGCGCTATATAAATAAAGGTGACTTGACTTGACTTGACTTTATAACTCGCAATTTTGACTTTATAACTCGCAATTGTGAGAAAAAAAGTCATAATTGCGAGATATGAACTCGCAATTGTGAGAAAAAAAGAAAGTCAGAATTGCGAGAAAAAAAACTCAGAATTGCGACTTTTATCTCCACTGGGCACCGATTTTACAATTTCGCAATTCTGACTTTATTTCTCACAATTGCGACTTATAATGTCAGAATTGCGAGTTTATATATACTCGCAATTCTGACTTTATAACTCGCAATTTTGACTTTATAACTCGCAATTGTGTGTTATAAAGTCAGAATTGCAAGATATGAACTCAGAAAAAAAAGTCAGAATTGCGAGATAAAAAGTCGTAATTACCTTGTTTTATTTTTTATTCAGTGGCGGAAACGGGCTTCCATAGTTTTGTCAAACTATAGTTTCACAGGATTCGTACCGGAGTGGTTCACCTCACAAGTGCAATGCCATATCATGTGTAGGTTTGCAAATGCAGTAGGTTTGCCCTTACCAGGCAAACCTACTGCATTTGAAAACCCATACATATGAAGCTGTATATGTGATGCTAACATTGAAAAGTATCAGTTTTCAAGTCTCGCAGCATGTTAAAATTGTTTTGAAGTCATAACATAATATTGTGCAAGGAATTGTGCGAAAAATTAGGCTTTCTGAAACAAAACTTTGGCCCTGTAAATCATAATTTGTGTGAAAATGAATAAAAGTTGTCTGCGTTTTACTGCCTCTAGTGTTTATTTAAACTGGAAACTCCAGCGATTCGTAAGTATAGGTAAGTTTATTGAGTTTTGCAGAAATTTAGGTAGAGCCGCGTATTTCCAGTAAGCCTAGGCAGCATTTTTCAGCATAAACAATCCTCTCCAGAGTTCAGGCAATCTCAGACCGATTATTTTGGTATGAATTCAAGCACAATTGCTATGTTGATCTATGCCTACAGTCAATGAACCAAACTATGTGAGAAAATGCTTCAGGTTTTGAAACAAACACTCCTACTCGATGAAATTTCAAATATGCATAATTGGGAGATTCGTGTGAGGGTGAATAAGTTGCCCACACAGATTTTTCTCGTGTTCGAATTTGCCACTTTGACCAACAGAAAGCTGCTTGGTTTGAAAGTAACTTCTGTGTGAGTTGTGTGAACACTAAAAGCGTAAAGATGCCTACCATATCAATGACCATTTTCCTGAGAGTCTGTCGCTGCTTCTTGGAGAGGTTTTGGAAGATATCACAGTTTTCCCCTTGCAAGAGCTTGAAACCAACCGCTAGGTGATGGTTCTCCAGAACAGACTCATCATTGTACATGAGCGCCAGCTCGGAGTCTGCAGTAAAGACAGCAATGATGTTTATGAGAGACATGAAACAGTCATAACATTGAGGCTTTGTTCTATCATATGGTTTGTGTTTCAATAACTGCAACAGTTTGGATCCATAAACATACATAGTCTTCAGTATGTCGATTAAAAACACACTCACTGGTATTAATTAGGAACTGGTTTGAGACCCCTGGGTGGTCCACGTCATGGATGGCTGCTGCAAAGATAGCGGCAAGGACCTCCAGGTCTGTAAAGACCTCCTGTGGATAATAATAGAGAAAGATCAGCTTTGCCCAATGCATTGAACTGAGTAAAGCATGTTGCACACAGTTTAAGCATTGTAACACAACAGTTGACTCTTTTTGCCACTGATCTTTAATGAAACAAAATATTTTGCAGATAAAAACAGCTTGTCTTTTCAAGTTTATTTTTTGCGTTAAAAGAAGACAACGCAAAAATGAGCTGCAGACAAAACACTGCACGCTGTTTAGAGATTAGAGGGATCATGCATCAGAAAAATCAGTTCAAAGGGTTCAGAAACAGCTATGACTGGCAGTATGTGTGGGAATGTGGAAAGAAACAGCATTTAATTAAAAAAATGTTTCTGTTTTATTCTCTTATTTTGTTTTGTATTTAATTTTTTTGTTTATAACCATGTTCTATTATTTTGTTTATACATTGTTTTGTTATTTAAATTCTATTCTCTTATTTTTATGCATTTTCATTTTTTCATTTATTTGTATTTTAATCTCTTCTTGTATTTTAATTTTTATTTTAAATTCGTTTATTTCTACTTTATTCTCTTATTTTCATTTTAATTTAAATTAAAAACATTTAATTTAGATCTATTTTATTCTGTTGTTTTGTTTATGCATTTAATTTTTTTGTTTATTTAAATTTTATCTCATTTTTATACATTAAAATTTTATTCTCTTATGTTGTTAAGCATTTGAATGTGATTTTTTTCATTTATTCTCTTATTTTGTTATATGCAGTTGTGAAACATTTTTTATTTCTATTTTACTTTCTAATTTTGTTTTCATATATATGTTTTTTTTAAAAACACTTTGCAAACTGTTTAAAAAGGTGCTATATAAATAAAGCTTTACTACATTATAACTACATTTATAAGACATATGTGACCCTGGAGCACAAAACCAGTCTTAAGTCGCTGGGGTATATTTGTAGCAATAGCCAAAAATACATTGTATGGGTCAAAATTATAGATTTTTCTTTTATGCCAAAAATCATTAGGATATTAAGTAAAGATTATGTTCCATGAAGATATTTTGTAAATTTCCTATATTAAAACTTAATTTTTGTTTAGTAATATGCATTGCTAAGAACTTCATTTGGACAACTTTAAAGGCGATTTTCTCAATATTTTGATTTTTTTGCACCCTCAGATTCCAGATTTTCAAATGATGATGATGTATTATACAGATGATGTATAAATCTCAATTTCGAAAAATTGACCCTTATGACTGGTTTTGTGCTCCAGGGTCACATATAGGAGTTTCTTACATCCAGTGCAGGTGTGGAAAGCAGGATGTGTGTGGACTGGGCCACATCAGCCGCGTGTAGACTGTTGTGATAGGCTACGTCTCCGTGGTAGTGATCTTCAAGGGTCATCATGTACGTTACAAAGGTCTCCACTGGGATCCTAAATGTCTTCATTAAATCTCTCTCCTACAGAAAAAAAAATGCTTTAGTTGCATTTAATTTTTAAAAACACATCTCTGGACATGTGAGATGGGATTTTAGTTTTGCGCACTAACCTGAAAGATGGCGTACATGATGCAGGTCAGCGGTCGATGGTGAGAGTGCTCTGAAACGTTAAAGATGTTCAGACCCCACTTGTTAATGTCCTCCAGGTCCTACAAAAGGCAAGAGAGGATATACGTCCAATTACGGTACAAACTCGACAAAAGTGCACAATTTTCATGCAACACGTGGTCTGTAACGTACGACTATACCTTTGAGAGCAAGTCCTCCAAATCTGTTTTCACGCCGAAGCGGGCCGCACTGCAGCTGCTGGGCAAACCAGGGCCGTGCGTGACCTTCCTCACCCCGCTGATCTGAGTCATCAGCTGCTGCTGCCTCCTCTTTCTGTCCCGCGATTTTGGAGTGGGCGATGGGATCTCCAGTTCATTCTGTTTATCTACAGGGGGAAAGGTTTCGTCCTGTGACTGTTCATTTCAGCACTCGCACACTCAATTCACAACAGATACCATGACTTTACAGACTCACTGAGTGAGTTCAAGTCAGCAAAATGAAGTTCAATGTTAGTGAAAGCCACCTACAAGAACCTTTCTGTCAAGTTCAACAGTTTATGCTACAGCTAAGTATTCCCTGATGAAAAGAAAAGCTTAGATTGATGGTCCAGGCTGGTTTATGCTGGTACTGTATAGCTGGATCAGCACAGCCATGGTCTTTCTGGAAAAGCTGGCTGACATAGTCTTACTGGTTATGCAAGTTAAGCAGTTTGATGGGAATACGATAACTAAATATGCACTGAAACAAGATGAAATGACAAAATTAAATAAAAAAGATTAAACTTGTTTTGTTCAGTTTGTCTAAAAGCAAATAAAACTCCCCGTAGAAAATTAAATTGTTAAAGAACAATTTTGTTTAAATAGTGTTTTCTCTTGAACATATTTGCTACCTTTATTGACTGTAGAAATTATCGTGCATTTCTTTTGTTAGTACATAACAGAAAATATGATGCATATTTTAAAAAAGACATCACAATAAACATTAAGGTCTTTTAAAGTTGCCTTTATTTATAGTAAATAAACTAAATTAAACATTGACTAACAAAATGTTTTTAGTTTTATCTTAAGTAAAAATTCTACTTTCATGTTATAGGTAATTTAGCATTCGGTTATGGTGAAATTAAGTTATAAAAAGCAAAAAAAAAAAAAAAAGTATTATATTGGCCTATATTGAGTAACATTTTGGCTTATGCCTAAAGTACATTACGGAATTATGGTCTTTATAATAAATAATCTTTTTACTTTGTATGAATGATTTGGTTTCTGGAAAAATAAATATTTTTGAATGAACTAAGCTAAATATAAATTTGGTGAAATTATGTTATAAAAAGCAAAAAAGTATTATACTGACCTACGTTAAGTAACATTTTGGCTCATGTCTAAAGAAAATATACTACTTAATTATGGTCTTTACAATAAATAATCTTTGTGTGAATGCTTGTGTCTTTGAAAAAACAAACAATTTTGATAAATATTACATCAAAATTAAAGGTTTGAACCAAACATAAATAAAATTTACGAAAAACTAATAAATTGACTGTAACAAATTAGAGTATTTTGTTTTTCCAACGTATCATTTTTTTTAAAGTATATGCTGGTGACAATCCAACTCAGTTGTATCTAATGTTATTTTTTTCTGAGGTCATTTAAGAGAAACATCTTAGACACTAGCATGAAAAAACCATACAAGTCTCCTGAGATGAAAGAGCGATCTCTTGATTTTTTTCTCCAGTGACGTCCCTCAAAACCACACATTCTTTCTACTCTTTCTAAACATCTCTGTTTCTCACCTTGAAGAGAGTGAGACTATCTCGCTAACACCGCATGTTAAGAGTGTTTGTCTGAAAATCTCCCCTCTGATGACTCTGTGAGTAAGTGTGTAGGCTGTAGGGCTCTGAACGGCAGGGTTAGGGGAGTACAGTGACCCTGTGGCATCTGACGCAGACTATAGTTTCAGCCCTCCTCTCTCTCTCACACACTCTCTTGCTGTGTAGATGCCAGACCAGATCAGACTGGTTTGAATAACAGAGGTGCAGGCGAACCACAGACATTCAGCAATCATCAAACCCCCTCTTTCTAGATATCAGTGTTTTCATGGAGGAGCTAGACAACCTCTTTATCCACAACCTTTTATCATTATCACCATCTGAAGTATGGCTTCTCAAGATGTTTTGGTTTCTCAGTTTAGCCCACTAAATGAAACACTGTATACTGTAGGAAAAACACTGTGGGATTTTGGAAACAATCAGTCGACCTTGTCTCATATCTATTTTTCTAGGTTAATGTGGTTTTTAGTATTGCATATTGTTGTTGAAAAAGTCTCTCATGCTCACCAAGGATGCATTTATTTAATCAAAAATATGCTAAAAATAGGAAAATGTTGAAATATTATTGCAATTTAAAATAACTGTTTTCTATTGTATTATAATTTAAGGTGTAATTTATTCCTGTGATGCAAAGCTGAATTTTCAGCATCATTACTCCAGTCTTCAGTGTCACATGATCCTTCAGAAATCATTCTAATATGCTGATTTGATGCTCAAGGAACATTTATTATTATTATCGATGTTGAAAACAGTTATAATAGTGATACATTTTTTTCTATTCATTTACACTTTGTTAGCAACAGACGTAATAGATTTAATTTGTTTGTGCAGGGACATTTTTGTCCAATTTAGTGGCATTTTTGCCCCAAGACCCCGTGGCTAAGCCTTCCCCAGCCTTACACACACTCCGCCTATGGTTCTATTCTATTCTATTCTATTCTATTCTATTCTATTCATATAAGCAATAAAATGAATGTTCTATTTCTAGAATAAGGGTTTACAAAGGAACTATCAGTCACTATGTAATATGTTTCCTTACAAGAGTTATGAAGATAATGAAAAGAATGTTCAGACTCACCTAAGAATGTGTTGGAGATGAACTCAGACACCTGGTTTCCAGAGCGACTCATCTCAGACAGATGTGTCAGTTCCCGATTCAACATCCTCTTGAACTAAAACACAAACAAGACAAGTCTTTATACAGTATCAATATTTCTAAACTTCTCATTGCATGAATTGCCAGTCCTCGTATTATATTTTAACCAAGCAATGCAAGAAACTCAAGCAACATCCAAATTAAACGTCCAATACATGGCAAACAATGTGTGCCAGTGAATAACTCTCTCACAAACACACACCTTAATGTAACCCCAGGACACCGAGAGCAAATAGTTGACTTCAGGCATGTTGGAGTCTTCCGTTAGATGCCTAAACCCTGAACTCCTCTAATCTCGCTTCAGCTCAAACTAAAGCGCAGCACTGACTCCAGCAGCTCCACACCGTCTCTCCTCATCTCATCCCTCTGTGTTCCCTGTCACATCCCAGCCAGGCTCAGATAAACAGCAACCGCCAGGAGAGATCCAGACAGAATTCCACGAGATCTGCTGCATTTACCTACTGTGCGTTTCCAACACTGAGTCTTTTTTCTCTCTCGGTTATTTTCAGTCTCCCTTTCACCCTCCTTCTCTCTGTCTATCTTTCTCTCTCTCTCCTGTCTTTACACTCCACATCCACTGCTTTTTTACTTGCTGAACTAACAATTTCTATTTATTTAAATGTATATGCAATTGCTACAAGCAACTTTAGTTATAATTCCCTTACGGTCTTTGGTCTGTAGTATTTTGGTATTTTTTTTATCATTATATCTGAGCAAATTCTCATGAATGTTTGCATGGGAAAAAGGCCCCAGCCAGACAGAAGTAACATGCAGTCAACTCACACACAAATGCTAAAATTATTAATCAGCCCTGCACATCCTCAACATTTAATACCAAGTGACATATCTGTTCCTATAAGCTGTATTTCCGCAATACGTTGTTCTACTGGGAAGCTATAGACATGGTTTTGCAACAGCCTATTTTTACTCAATGAAGCAATTATTATTTTTTTGCCCAGGAAATGCAAAATTTCTAAAATATATGTCTTGCAAGTTGCATTGGATGAAAGCTTCTGTTAAATGCATAAATGCAATGTTTAAGTGCACTTCAGCTGATATTATACTAGAACCAGACACTGTTGAACTGAGGTAAACAAGTCTAGATGTTTTAGTAGTTCAAATCTAAAAATACTTATATAACTAAAAACAATTATTTAACAATTACTAATTTTTCCAATTTATTTTAATTCATTTTTTTATAAAACATAATACATATTTTATAGTACAGGATACCATTTTAAAAGTAGAAATTGTTTTTAAATTATTTGTAATTGCATTTTTAATAAATTAGTGGTCTCAATTAATTATTTAAATTTAACCTCATAATAAATTATTATAAAATATAATATACATTTTATAGTACAGGATATCATTCTAAAAGATTGTAAATAAATTTATATTTGTAAACATAAATTAATAGTATCAATTATTTAAATTTAACCTTACACTCTAAAAAATGCTGGGTTGTTTTAACCCAACTTTGGGTCAAATATGTACTAACCCAACTGTTGGGTTAAATTTTTACATTACATTTTTAACCCAAAAGTTGGGTTAGTCCATATTTGACCCAAAGTTGGGTTAAATACAACCCAGTGCTGGGTAAAATAGGGACAAACCCAGCAATTGGGTTGTTTTGAGCCAGCGGTTGGGTTAAATGTTTAACCCAACCTTCTGGGTAGTAACCCAACCACTGGGTCAAAACAACCCAATTGCTCTTTTGTTCGCTTAAACAAAAGAGGACAACCAATCTCCAATAACACAGATGAAATCAGTTGCTTCAGCATTAAAACCCAGAGCAAAGCCAGAATTTGTTCAAAAATCCCACAAAACCTTGCACTAACTCACCTCTGTCCAGCTTTTTAGCACACCAAACTTTCTCCTTTTCTCGGAGTAGCATAGTCCCATTGTTGCAGCGATGGTGTTTCGTGCACTATTGGTGAGCATGTGGCAAGGCAGTGCCTGTGAGCTCACTTTGACGGGTGTCAGGAAATGCGTTAGACAAAGTGCCGAGTGATTCACCTCGCTGACGTGCCCTCCTCCCTCACGACTCACAGCACCTCCCTCCCCCTTTCTGTCTGCAGCCTCAGGTAGAAGCGCACTGAGACCACGCTAGTCATGTTGACTGCACACATGGGTGGAACTCACTCAATTACTACTCAGAGAAATTCAAAGGCATGACAAGAAGACTCGATCTTTTGTCTTTCATATTTGATGACGTGAATTGTAGACTTGCACAACGTAGCTGAATTTCATTATGTCTTGCCTTTCCAGTTCAAAGAAATATTCAACTATAAATAATAAAGCAACCATAATCAATTATTTTGAAATAATCACTTATAAGATAAAATAATTGTTTGGGCCAGGTGCCTTTCATCAAGACAACAAACTGGATATAAACTAAGATATTATATTTAATGTGCATTATTTTCAGTGTTTCCTCTGTCATTCTTTGGGTAACAATCGGGCAATCAATTAAGTTCTCATAGCACGATTTCCTGTTGACATATAAATGTGGCAATATCTCTAGATCTCACGTCAACATCTCATCATTAATGACGTATTAACCTATTAGACACTGTTCTACAAGACCAACCACTTACTCTATTCATGTATCAACACACACACAAACAAAATCCAGGATTCAAAACTGCATTAGAGAGCTGTGACTAACCAGCACCAGCAGACTCTGGTAATAAGATGACTATGTCAAAGACAAGCAACTAATAACTCTGAATATCAGATATAAATCATCATAAAAGATACTTAAAGCGATAGTTTAGTTTAAGGAAAATTCTGTCATAATTTACTCGCCCTCATGTCATTACAAACCTGTATGAATTTCTTTCTTCTGCTGGATACAAAAGAAGAGATTTTGAAGAATGTTGTTAACTAAACACCTCTGGTTTCCATAGACTTGCATTGTATGGATAAAAAATACAATGGAGGTCAATGGGAACCAAAAGTGTTTGACTGCAATCATTCTTCCAAATATCTTCTTTTGTGTGCATAGAGGTTTGCAATGACATGAGGGTGAGTGAATGAATGAACGAATTATCATTTTTGGGTGTACCATCCCTTTAAGTAGAATTTGCAGAATGCCACAAGAGATTGTCAAATCCTCCTTATTGCATCTCATTGGTATTCCAACAAAACTTTGACTTGTTAGGCCTCGAAATTACAGACAAATGTGAAAGCAATAAAAACTACTCTTCTAACACAAACAGAAAATTCTCAAACAAACAAAGTTTGCAATACATTCATCAAAAATAAACGTTCCAAAAGAGGGGTTTTGCAGAGATGCCATAGAAGAACCTTTTTTGGTTCCCTAAAAAACCTTTCAATGAACAGTTCCTAAAAGAACCATTTTTCTTAGTGTAAAGAACATCGAAAGAACCTTTATTCTAATATAAAGAACCTTTTGTGCGATGGAAAGTTTCCATGGATGTTAAAGGTTCTTTATGGAACAACAGATGCCAATAAAGAACCTTTATTTCTAAGAGTACTGAAATTTGAATTTCTGTGAAAACATGCATAAAGATGCCCTGCTGTTTGCAGCAACGCAGAGGTAAAGTGGGAGTAGACGAGCTGCCGTCTCACCTTGTTGGAGGCCATGTCACTGACGGAGCGGTACGTCTGGATGGTCTCCAGCTGGTCCAGGCACCAGTCTAGCTCCTCCATGGTCTCCACGGCCAGCTTCTGGTAGGATTCATCTGGTAAGAGACACACGGATATGTATTCAGGATCCAGCCTCTGCTGCTTGGCCCGAAAAGGTGGTCCGGCGGGAGCGGTGCAGATAGAGGAGCAGTGATCTTTCATGGTGGGCTGAGTGCTGCTGATGTAGTCATTCTGCACTGATAGTAGCTGGATTAATAGCTCACTGTTCGCTTCATAGTCTTTTCCATTGTGTCACCAGCTCGGTCTCCAAACTCACCTACTGTGCAGTCTGTCTGCCAGTCTCTCTCTCTCTCTGTGCTGATGTGTCAATGAGCCTCAGACCCAGGGGAGCTTAGTGGGAGGGACTCAAAAACTCATTCCCTATTTCTCTCCTCTTCTGTTGACTGAAAATGTAGTTAATTGAAACCAAATTGAGGAGAGAATGATTAATGCTCAATTATATTGTTAGTAAATTATCTTGATGGATGAATCTCATAAAAAAACAAAAAACAAAAAAACACATCACAGGTCATATTTCAACCCAAAACAACAAGAAAATGATGCCTATTTTTAGGACTGCAATGCATTTGTAAAATTGTTGTTAATTCATTATCATAATATGTGTACTTTTGAGTTTTTATTTTTGTAAAACTCTATATTTTCAATGCTGATTCTTGTGTCATAAATGCATGATGCAGTGTCATAAATGCATTGTATGATGCAGTGATTATGATGCAAAAATAAAAAATAAATAAAAAATAAATTAAAAGTGCTGTAATTTTCTGCCAGGACATTTTCCAAATACTATTTTTAGCATTATAAAAAAAAAAAAAAATTTTTTTAAAACATACTTTAATACAACTCTTTCTCTCTCTCTCTCTCTCTCTCTCTCTCTCTCTATATATATATATATATATGTGTGTGTGTGTGTGTGTGTGAGCCTGGACCACAAAACCAGTCTTAAGTGTCAATTTTTCACATCAAGATTTATACATCATCTTCTGAATAAATAAGCTTTCCATTGGGAAAGGGTCACACACACACACACACACACACACATATATATATATATATATATATATAATATTAAAATAAATATATAATTAAAATAAAATATAACAATATAAAATAAAAATATTATATAATCAACTATTTTTTAGCATTAGAGTAATGAGAATTATAGAATTGTATTATGGTATTGAGTGAGAATGTGCTTAAATATCATGAAAGTAATGTCAAAAAGCAAAAAAAAAAAAAAAAAATTGGGGG